GTCTCCCTGGAGGGGAGGCAGTTATACGTCAATATTTGTGATCGATTGATTCCCCCTTTTTCCTTCTCCCTCTACCTTCCCCCTACCCCAGTGGTTCTCAACCTTCCTAATGCCGCAACCCTTTAATGCAGTTCCTCAAGCTGTGGTGACCCCCAACCATAAAATTATTTTTGTTGCTACTTCATAACTGTAATTTTGCTAGTGTTATGAATCATCATATAAATATCTGATATGCAGGATGTATTTTCACTGTTACAAATTGAACATAATTAAAGCATAGTGATTAATCACAAAAACAATATGTGATTATAGATTGTGAAATATTTATTTCTAATTACAAATCAATGAAATATTTTCTTGAAGCATGATGTAGCATGGGTAACAGTTTTAATATAACATCAGTAAACTACATTGTTACATGTTGCAACAGTATGCATAAGAAGCCAAAGTCAGTGCAAAGGTTGAGATAACTTCTTTCTCACCAGATCAGCATATCTGCATGTGGGCAGACCTCCCACCTGGAGACGGATAGAGGAGTGGTGTCTCTGTTCCTAAGACCATCGGAAATATGTGTTTTCTGATGGTCTTAGGTGGCCCCTGTGAGAGGGTCATTCAATCCCCAAAGGGGTCTCGACTCACAGGTTGAGAACTGCTGCCCTACCCTACAGTGATCGCTATTCCCATTACTGTTCCTGATGGGTTTATCTACCCTGGATTCCATGTGTTGAGGGCTCTTATCTGAATCCATGGACGTGCTCCTGTCTAGCCAGACTTGTAAGGCAGAACTGGTGTCATGATAGTGGGGGGACGGGGAAACATTAAATAACTAGAGGAGTGTTGTGTGTTTTAACGTTGGTGCTATACTGCACCCTGGATGACTCATCCCTTGTGACCCTTCTGAGAGGGGAGTAGACGATGCTTTAAAAGAGTATGCTGCTTAGTGTAGACATCCTTTTCCTATTTAAGCTAAACCAGTGTATTTGGTTCAAAGATGACCTCACCAACGTCTTAGTTCAAGGCTTAAAGACTTCCTCCAGGTAATAGTTTTAGAGATCATCTGGCCTCCATGAAGCCTGGATTCCACGAGAACTTGAAAAAATCAGTTCCTCAATTTCCCCCTCTTGACCAGGATTCTGCTGTTAGCATCTTTGATGTAAATATTTGCTCCAGTCTTGTTCTGACAAAAGAGGCGGTTGCTTGTAGAAAAGCTTCGTTGTGTCTCCTTTTTGCCTTCCGTGCTGGCTTTTGCAGTGATGGGTGTTGACAGGAAGTGTGTATGTATCAGACGTCCGTCTCTATTGTTCCGATTTACAGAAGAGTCGGGCTCGGGCATGCCGCTGGTCCAGGCAGAGGCAGGACTCCCACCAGGCCCCTGATGGCATCTGGGTTGACCTTGACAGGACAACAAGGCTGCTGCAGGACAGCCGTGTGGTGTGGTGGGGCCCTGAGGTGGGAAGCAGCCTGTTCTAAGCCAGGCAGGGTGGAGCTTCTCGAGAATGGCCAGCGCCCTGTCCGGTGTTACAGGGGCTGCAGGGGCCTTTGAGAACACACACAGAGGCTGATGGTGGCAGACTTGGGCAGCTCCTGTCACTGAGCAAACCCCAAGCAGAAGAAGGGGTCCCCGTCAGGCTTTTGGAGTGAACCCTGTTATACAGATTTCTGGCTTTCCAGGTTCCTAAAAGCCTAGTGGATCATGAGGAGGCCATGTAGCACGTAGTCTCCCAGGTCGTTTTGGCCACAAAGCCTTGAAGGGGTGCCAAGGGAGGTTTGGGGCTGCAGAGACCGTGCCCATCTGTCTGTCTGCAAGGAGCATCTTAAAGAAGCAGGGCGGCCTCATCCGTTGCTGGCAGGAAACTGAGTAAGGCGTGCATAGTGCAGGCAGCCTAAGGGGGCTGCCACCCCCAGACACACACTCGTGGCTTCCTGCCCTTCCACAAGTGGAGACCCTTGGCTCCAGCAAGCAGCCTCTCCCCAGAGCCAGGCCTTGAGTAGGCCACGCCCACAGGCCCTCCCGGCCTTGACTTCATGGAGCCTTTTACCAGCTCGCCCTGTGCACCCCACTCCGACAGTGGGCCCACTTCCAGGGACACGGAGGGACCAGGAGTCTCCTCCTGGCGTCAGCAGTGCTGACTGCCCATTGGAGGGTGTGATGGTCCTTCTCTCTGGACCTGCGGCCTCCCCAACCCTGGCCGGGCCTCTAAGAAGGCCTCTTCTTTCCAGAGCTTTTGTCTTCTTCCCCTGGGGGGCAAATTCACTGCCAGCTAGCCTAGCGGGGTGGCCAGTTTCAGAGCAGGAGCTGAGGGGCCGACTCTAACCCAGCCCACCCCACCCCCTTCTCCTACTCTCCTCCCAATTCTGCCTGGCAGCAGCTGCTGCTCCAGAAACAACAGAGCCCTGCACCCCGATCCGTGCCCGTACCCCCTCACCACCACCAGCCCCACCGCCCCAGGACCCCACCCATGCCCCATAGTGTGCTCCCTGTGTCCACAGCTGCAGGACCCTCCTCCCCCAAGGACCGGCCTCAGCTGCCCCTCTGGCTGGGATGTGGCCTTTGGCCACTGCTTAAGGAATGGGAGCCAGCTGTCTTTCCCGCCACGCCCGCCCAGCAAGCGCAGCAAAGTGTGGGGTGGGGCTGCTGGCCTGGCCTTCTTGACCACTCCCAGTGTCCCATTTAGGCCGGGACGGGTGAAGAGGGCTTAGGGACATGTATTCAGAGTAGGGTCTGTGGACCACTGGTCAGACACCACGGGTCTGGCCCCTGGCCTCCATGCCCGGTAAGCCCAAATGTGTGCCTGAGGTCCTAAGGCATTCACGCACCCACGGATGTGACAGCCCTGCTCTGGGGCCTTCTGCCCAGTGCACACCGAACCTGCAGCCATTCCCCAGGTGCCACCCTAGTTGCTGGGCACCAGGGGCTGTGGAGGCAGGACTCGGAGCCCTCCAGCCCCCAGAAAGCTCCAAGGTCTCCCCTGCTTCCCCCACGCCCTCTTAGAACAGCAGCCAGAGGGAATCCCAGCATGTCATTTTCCATCCATTGTTGGGGTCATATGGACTCAGGAATGTGGCTGCAGTGTGGGCCAGACATGAAGCCGGAGTGGCAGTGGGGCAGGGGGCGGGGGAGGGTTCAATGAAATGCCCTGAAAAGGCCACCATTTCCCCACAATGGCCAGAGACTCTCTAAACAGCAACCTCCCCGCCAGACATAGCCGAAGCTGGTTTCCTGAAACGTTAGCAGGCTCTGAGGGCCACTGACTGGGGTGGGGAAGGCTGGCTCTAGTCTGAAATGACACCTCCACCCCCAGCTGATTGCTCCTTCCTCAGCTAGTACACCATTTGTCTGGAAAACACTTGGCCTAAAAATAGCTCAGGGCTTGGTGTCATTGTGGAAGAAGGACACCTGCCCCATTTCCTGGACTTTCAGGCACCCACAAAGTATCTCAGTTGAGGCGGCCCATTGGTAAGCCTGAGTCCCAGGCCGAGCGAGGCCAGAGAGGACTCGCCACCGGAGCCACTGCTGGGGCCATGTGAGTCTCCAGGCCAGGCTACCCTGCGAGGGGAAGGAACGTCGTGTTCATAACCCCGTCAAGTCCACAGGCATAAAGCAGCCACCGTCACTAGCCACTGCCGAGGGGACCCCTGTGACCTCTCTAGGCTGTGGTCTTAACAGACAGGGACACTGGGTGCGTTCAAACTGCCAACCCTTAGGCCAGGGGTTGAGTGTAAACCTTCAGCCTGCCCTTCGCCGACCCTAGCAGGGGACTTGGCCAGCCTTCTTAAGCTGTTCAGAGGATGGCAGCAGTGAGGAGAGATGATGTTGACCCAAGGTGCCCCCACCCTCCTGGGAGGTCCCTCCCGCACACCTGCTGCTCTTATCCTCCGTCAGTCGTTGCCCACAGCCAGCTTGTCCACCGACGCCCACTACCAGCGAGGCACTGGACAGACCAGGCCTCCTCCGTCCCTCTGTTCCCTGGAACAGACTTTCCCGGGAAAGTCAGGCAGATTCTGCTGTGGGCAGCGGAATGCCAGAGGCGGGGCGCCAGTTCTCCAAGGAGCGCGGGGGGGCGGGGGGGGCGGTGCTGGCTAGGGCGGGTAGGCCCCATGCCCACAGTTGGGCATAGTGCTCACATCTAACCAGACTCTGTATGTCATTGCAGCCCGAGACAGAGGATGAGAAGAAGCGCTTTGAGGAAGGCAAAGGGCGGTACCTGCAGATGAAGGCCAAGCGGCAGGGCCAGGTGGAGCCCCAGCCCTAGACACCTGTCAGGCGGGGCTTCGAGCTGCCAGTGAAGGGACCCGGAGCATCAGATCCCTCAGGAGTTACCCCCGTGGCCAAAAACCCAATCAATTTCCGTGGCGAGCTGGTGTTGTGTGAAGTATTTGTAACGCAGTGTTAACCTCTACTCTGTCCTAAAACACCTACACACCAAAGCTTATTTATATCATTCCAGTGTAAATGCTACACGGAGTTGTCCCCCGCCCAGGCCCTCCGTGGTCCCCGGGCTATTTTGTCTCTGTCAAGTTCATGAGGAATCCAGTTCCATCAATAAAGCCGCAGTTTGGCTAGAGCCCTGGATCCGCGTGGTTCTTGGACCCTGGGGGCTGCTCTTGCTCTGGGCCCAGGATATGGGGTGATAGATAGAGTCCTGCATGGGGCCAGACTGAGGACAGACCATGGCCAGCTGCCTGTCCTGCCCCTCTCTGCGTGGTGGTCTCAGCCCTGCACTCTGTGCACCTCACACCTCGCCATCTTCTACCCAAGAACCCCAGGCACGGCAGCCTGGGCTGACCTTCAGCTGATGCACGATGGCCATACAGATTGTCATCTAAACCCACCCCCGACTGGGGCACCTCCACCATGGACCCTGGCCTCCCTCCCCCAACTTTCCAGAGGCCTCTGCCCCACTCTTCCAAGAGCCCCAGGATCCCCAACACGGGCAGGAGGGATCCCCTGGGGTGGGGTCTGAGCCTCGAGCCTGTGCTTGTGTGGGGCGTGGGGTGTGGGGTGTCTGTCGGCCTGTGTGTTCCTTCATCGCTATCATGTGTGTCTGTCTCTGTGTGCACGTATGGGGCATGACAGTGGTTATCCAACTCTCTGTGTGAGGATGTCTGAAGCCTGGTGTGTATCTGTCTGTCTGCCACCATGAGTCTGTGTACATCTGTTACAGCAGTCTCAGGGGTCAGATAAGCTGCCAAGGCCACTGCAGGGGTCACGACCTACCCTTCGATGACTGAGAATAATAGCCACTCCACCCAGCACCCCGGGCGGTGGCTGCTGGGTGAATGTTCCCGGCACAGGCTGGTCTGCAGCCCCCACATCTGTCCTGCCACCTGGAGGGGAACACTGCCTGCCAACAGCTGCAGCCTCACCCAGGGCTCCCAGGGAGTCAGAGCACGTAGCTCCAGATGTGCAGAAACAGCCCGCCAAGAGCTTTTGGACTATGTCTTGGGCCCTGGTGCCAGCTGGCATGGATATTTCCTGCCAGGGAGCCGTTCAGCCCTATGGCTCCACCCTGCCCTCAGCCCCCAAGTCTGACCTCAGGCAGCCTCAGCCTACCAGCGCTGCCCACTGCCACCCTCCACTAGTCTCCTGTGCCCTGACCCTGGATGGCAAGGACACTTACCCTTAAGGTACGCAGCCAGCCAGGTCTGACACCAGCCAATGCCCACCCCATCCCCCAGGCCCCCACACTTCTGCCAGGCAGCCCATCCCCAAGGCATAGAAAGGTGGGCTTGACCTCAGACTCCTGCTTTAGTCCTGGGCAGCTTGGGAGTTGGGTTTTAAGGGCACCCTGTGGCACAGTGGTTACAAGACAGGCTGCTAATCACAAGGTCAACAGTTTGAGCAGCCACTCCTCGGGAGAAAGTCAAGGCTTTCTACTCCAGTAAAAAGTTACAGCCCTAGATATCCACAGAGGTGTTTCTACCCTACCCTACACTACCCATCGGGTTGCCGCAAATCAGAATCCGCTCCATGGTAGTGAGTTTTTGAGTGTGGGCCGTAGAGTGGGTCCGTTCATCAGTGTGGTTTTGGTACCTCAAACCCATTGGCCACCTATAAGAGGCTCCAGCCCCACAGCAGGGATGCTGGCCCTGAGCAGTACAAGAGGAGCAGACACAAGGGCAGACAGATGCATGGGAAAGGCTCTCGGGTCATGCGTCCAGGGCAGCGGTGAATAAACTGAGGTCTCTGCCCGCTCTAAGTCTTCTTAAGCCAGGCCGGCCATGGCAAAGGCAGCAGGGCCGTGGGAGGCTGCGGGCCAGGTGCAGGCCTGCTGGGCAGAAAGCCCTGCATGGTTCAGGGTGCTTGAATCCTCGGACTGACTCAGGAGGAGGGACAGTTTGCCTTAGGGAGGCCACACGGGGTACCCAGAAACCCCATTTGAGGCTCCCACTGCCTGTAACCCACTTGAGGCCTTGGCGCTTATAGGGCTGGCCCTACAAACACCGGCACCCCTAAAGCGGCTTCTCACTCCTGCTTGGGAGTGAGTGGGGGGCTGTGAGGGCAGTTCTGTTGGGCCGGGGTGGGCACCCAGCACTGCCTTGACTGCTGTAGGTTTGTGGCCAGCACAGGGCTGCCCACATCGGTGCCTCCCCTGTGCGCTGGGACAGCTGTGCCACTGGGTAGCCAGGAGGAGTCTTCAGAAGTCTAGTGCCCAGGTAGGTGTGGGCAGGGGCTTCCCAGAGGACACACCAGCCCTCATTTGGAGAGAGGGCAAGATGGTAAAAGTCACTCCCTCTGGCGGCTTCCAGGGATCACATGTCCTGTCAAGTAGGGCCATTTCAGTCCCAGATGAGACTGCCCACCGCTTCCAATCCGTAGGTGACAACGCAACCTGGAGCGCTAATGTGGCACTGGGAACCCATCCAGGTCCCCTGGGGAAGATGGCAACCCTGGTGCTGACATACTGTCCCCTCTCAAATGCTGCAGGAGCTGTGGTGATTCGGAGAAACTTCCCCGCAGGGGACAGCACAGCGGGAACAGATGCTCAGGACTCCTGGCGGGGTCTCAGGCCCCAAGAGAAGTTGACATCCTTCCAGGACCCGTCCTTTCTGCCCACCAGACCCGATCCACTCCCAGTTCCTAAAAAACCTCGGTTCCTTCGGGTCCTCCCAGCCCCGTGGCTCCCTTGGGCGTGGCTTCCATCT